CCCGCCCCCTCCGCCGCCCCCCCCGCCGATGCTGGGAATGCCGCCGCAGATCAGGGCCCGCGTCGGCGGTGGCCCGCAGAGCGGCGGTGGCCAAACGGCGGCAGGCATCGGCGGTCTTCTGGCGGAGATCCGGGCGACGAAGCGCGGCTGAGGCCGGGACGCCCCGATAGCGCCTCCAGTCGGGGAAGGGTCTTTTGTGTGATGTTTTTTCACGTACTTGTACCAAATAAAATTTTCGGTTGTAAACAGCATATGTTTTCTGAAACATACGCTTAGCTACGGTTCTGGCGGGACCGTTAGTTCAGGTACTTGAGACTTGTTGTGTCTACTTTTACTTCGGAACGGAACCGAAGATAGCTCGACGAATTTTTGCTTGAGAAGAAGAGGCATTCGTTCCTGTTGATGGTTGGTGTCACTAACCGGCATTGAGTGTTGGCGTCTTGGCATGAACACGGAGGCGCGGGAGAGGAAGAGAGAAAGGAGAGAGAGGGTATGATGCATGGTAGGTGTTGTGTCGCTGCTTGGTGTATCGCAGCATAGTGTTTGCGTAAAAGTGCTTTTGTTTAACCCTTTACGCGTGTAGCCAGTCTGCTTTTTTGTGTACCTGCGATTTGAAGCGTACAGCCTATATTAGCGATAGCGAGACGTTGCCGCTGGATACATTTCGCTTCTAGGGAGTGGTGGCCTTGCGTGCAGCCGTCGGTAGTGAGAATCGGGGTTGAGTACGGGGGTCGAGGAAAGCAGTGCAAATCATTTGTATATTTAGAACGTTGTGTAGTAGATCTATGCAAGCAGAGAAATAAGAAATTGCCGATTTGAGAAATTCAGCAGGACTTGGCTGCACGAAAAAATTAGAAACTTGAAATAAGAAACTGAACGACATACGCTGAGTTTATAGCCTACAATGAGAATTCGAGGCTGGACCTGCAATAAGCGTTTCTCAACTGCGGGCGCCAACTGTAGAGAGGAGCGGGGCAGATTGGCGCATACAAGGCCAAGAGAGGGAGCGGGGGGTAGCCTAGATAATCAAGCGGAGACCCCGTTTTCCCCGTCTGTTTTTTTTCGAGTTGTTTTGAATTATAATCTGAAAACACGATGGAGGCAGGGGTTGCTGTTGCATTGCGGGCACCTAGACTATTAAAGTATTAAGTGGTAGGGGAGAAACNCCCCCGCCGATGCTGGGAATGCCGCCGCAGATCAGGGCCCGCGTCGGCGGTGGCCCGCAGAGCGGCGGTGGCCAAACGGCGGCAGGCATCGGCGGTCTTCTGGCGGAGATCCGGGCGACGAAGCGCGGCTGAGGCCGGGACGCCCCGATAGCGCCTCCAGTCGGGGAAGGGTCTTTTGTGTGATGTTTTTTCACGTACTTGTACCAAATAAAATTTTCGGTTGTAAACAGCATATGTTTTCTGAAACATACGCTTAGCTACGGTTCTGGCGGGACCGTTAGTTCAGGTACTTGAGACTTGTTGTGTCTACTTTTACTTCGGAACGGAACCGAAGATAGCTCGACGAATTTTTGCTTGAGAAGAAGAGGCATTCGTTCCTGTTGATGGTTGGTGTCACTAACCGGCATTGAGTGTTGGCGTCTTGGCATGAACACGGAGGCGCGGGAGAGGAAGAGAGAAAGGAGAGAGAGGGTATGATGCATGGTAGGTGTTGTGTCGCTGCTTGGTGTATCGCAGCATAGTGTTTGCGTAAAAGTGCTTTTGTTTAACCCTTTACGCGTGTAGCCAGTCTGCTTTTTTGTGTACCTGCGATTTGAAGCGTACAGCCTATATTAGCGATAGCGAGACGTTGCCGCTGGATACATTTCGCTTCTAGGGAGTGGTGGCCTTGCGTGCAGCCGTCGGTAGTGAGAATCGGGGTTGAGTACGGGGGTCGAGGAAAGCAGTGCAAATCATTTGTATATTTAGAACGTTGTGTAGTAGATCTATGCAAGCAGAGAAATAAGAAATTGCCGATTTGAGAAATTCAGCAGGACTTGGCTGCACGAAAAAATTAGAAACTTGAAATAAGAAACTGAACGACATACGCTGAGTTTATAGCCTACAATGAGAATTCGAGGCTGGACCTGCAATAAGCGTTTCTCAACTGCGGGCGCCAACTGTAGAGAGGAGCGGGGCAGATTGGCGCATACAAGGCCAAGAGAGGGAGCGGGGGGTAGCCTAGATAATCAAGCGGAGACCCCGTTTTCCCCGTCTGTTTTTTTTCGAGTTGTTTTGAATTATAATCTGAAAACACGATGGAGGCAGGGGTTGCTGTTGCATTGCGGGCACCTAGACTATTAAAGTATTAAGTGGTAGGGGAGAAACACAGGTTGCAGTTCGCCGGCACGCCCAACATAAAAAGGCACATCCGGTAGAGGAAAACATCATGACGCACCATTTTGTTCTTTGGGCGGAGGGTATACAGAAATACAAGAACTGTTGTTCCCCTAGCTACAACCGCTCGCGGTGACAACCATCTCGACAAACGCCGAGAGACACATACATACATGCCTTATTCAAGTGTCAGGGGTATGAAGTTGTTGTTATCTTCACGTTTATCCCCGTTGCGATCTCTCTACTCAGTTTCTCCATCCGTACCGGTCCAACACTCTGCGAGATCGCTCGGCGAACTCAACAGAACACTCCGCGAGATCGCTCGGCGTACTCAACAGACTAACGGCATGCTTGCTGACACTAGTGTTAGGCAAAAACATACAGCATGGAGTCCTCTGATCCTCTCTCCACGCTATGTGAGGCAAAAGCAAAACAGGAGATTGTAAATGGGTTTTTTGTCCGCCGCCAGCCGGTCGGGTTCCGGTTACCGTACATGCTACGGGGGGTGCGTCGTGGTACCCGCGTATTTGTCTACGATGCTGAGCTGTCCGCTCGCTCGTATCCGGGGGGGTATGTGGGCACCACATGTCAGTATATAAGGCTTGGGGCACCTTATCCATTACTTCCATGGTGTGAAGGCTCAGCTCCGTGATGTCTCCCCGGGCGAGCTTTTCTGACTCGTTCTCGATGTAGCGGGTGAGGCTCGCGATCGTTGCGTCGAGGACGGAGGCGCCAGGGGGAGGGGTCTCGGTGACGGGGTGGGAGTTGGCGACGCTAGGGTGAGAGACGAGGTCGTCGTCGATTATCGACGACGTCTCTTCGTCGATAATCGACGACGACCTCGTCTCTCACCCTAGCGTCGCCAACTCCCACCCCGTCACCGAGACCCCTCCCCCTGGCGCCTCCGTCCTCGACGCAACGATCGCGAGCCTCACCCGCTACATCGAGAACGAGTCAGAAAAGCTCGCCCGGGGAGACATCACGGAGCTGAGCCTTCACACCATGGAAGTTATGGATAAGGTGGTGAGTCTGCGTGCAGCTGCCTGTAGTCAATCTTCCTCGGTGTCCCCGTCTGTGTCCCACAGCTCTGTCTCTGTCCCTTCGCTAGCTCGTAGCTTTGCCGAGGCCCTGTCAACTAAGTCTCACCGTGTCACGCTGTCCGCCAACGATGTCAAGCAGCTCCCCCGTCTCACGGGATCTGCTGACACCGATGTCATTTCTTG